CTTAAGGGGAGTAAAAGCAGCTTTGCTGCTTGTAACTCTTAAAAAAGAAAGAAAAAAAAATCGAAGGCAGGAGATAAAAGCCATTTGGATATGTTCCAGGAACAATCTACATGAAGTGCTTTCAGTCTTTTTCTTATGACATTTTTTGACCTTTAAGAGAAATGTATAAACATTGATAAAAATCTATACAATCTACAATCCACCAGATGTATTTCAGACTTTGGAAATTTTTGTATTGAATTCTCAGTTGAAAAAGAATTAGAAAGATTATCATATAATGGCCATTTTTTCCCCTATTTTTTTTCTTTTAAGCTTCCATTAGCTTCTTCTTATAAAGCCACAGAACATTGCTTTTCCATTGAAAAGCACAAAAATATTAGGTTGTGCACTGCAAATGAGCACAGAGCAGCAAAGGATTGCATCAGGTAACACTATTGAGCAAAGCTCAGGTAACCCCAAAAACAAATGTGCTCTTCAGATGTCTGATAGCTACAGCTCTGCACCCACCTACCAAAATTTAGGTGCAGAGTCAAGTAGACTTTTATTGCTCTCTCTTTTTAAAATATTATTTCTATTTCTGCTCCTGGTCCACAGTTAATCTCCCTGTCCTGCCAACATTTTTGAGTCAAACAAACCTACAACCCGGACTGAGGCTAGAGTTCAGTAGTATCCATGGCCTTCTGCCCCTCACGGTTAGCTGGCAATCAAATTATTCCAACCAAATTTATATATTTGATCGTTCCTGTTGTCCTTTCCCTTCCCAGCTGCTCCCTCTTCATCTGACAGAATTCCCTTGCCAAATATTGCCTCATTCCCAAACACACACTTGCAGAAGAAGGAAGGAGAGGCTCCTTTTCATGAGAACTAAATAAAGGCAACTAAATAAAGGGAATTTTATGAGAACTAAATAAAGGGAAACGTGGTTAGGCAGCCCCAGGAGCAACAGTCACACTGTAAAGCACAGGCACACAATTTAGCTGTTGCTCCTATGCTGGAGAAAGGATTGAAGTTAAGGTTACGCCTATATCTATCTCACTGTACACACAGTCGATGATAGTTTCTTGAAGATTATTTCTCTTCTCTGCTATGGACAATTCATCTGTGGAGTAAGAATATCCCCCTTCTTTCTTTGCATAGCTAGCTCACACGCTCACAGCGCAGCTAAAGCCTTTAAAACTGACTGGTACCTGAAAGGTGGCCTGGGACTGCTACACTGAAAGGGGTCTGCATTCAAATCATTAAAAAGCATGATAGCTTTGATTTTTTTCTCCACTTTTGTATTTCTTCTTGATTGGATGGGTTAGATTAAATAAACTCCAGTGTATCAAAACACAAAGCTAGTATTTAAGAGTCACTTTCTGCAGCCTAGCCTAAAAGTACACGATATCCAACAAAACCGGGGGGGTTAAAGATTCAAGTAACTTTAAAATTTCTGGACCTTGGGCTGCAAAACATGGTCTGCTCTTCATTTAAAACTGGCATGGATGAAGCTCCAGGATCACTGTACAGCAGCAAGCAGTGCTCCTCTGGAAGAGGATGGGGTACATGACCATATAGGCCTGCTTTTCTGCTATTAGCTTTATGATAAGAAAGCAGTTGAGCAAAACAAGCAAAAGTTATTGCATTCACACGTATACTACCACTGTTTCTTTACTGAGTCTGCTTTTTAATCACATCATCCACAGAGTCCTTGTGGACTTGGTCCTGTTCACACCAAGTGAGAAAATTTTTCACGACAGACATGACAAATGAAGTACTGAGGAGGCTCCCTCCAGAAGAAAGTTGTTGATGTTTTCCATAGCTTTTAGGATATCTGACACTCACAAGCATGAGGAATTGCATAGCAACACTTGATTTTAAACAAACCACACCAAACCAGAAAAAGAGCTGTGCTAGATAAAGCTGCCACAGTCCAACACCTTTAACAGGCAAATGAAAACTGAGTAGGTGAAAAAAAGAAGAAAAAAGAAAAACTGTCTTTTCAAAACAACCTCCACAGCCACTATGATTTCACTGCTGCCACAAGACCTTAAAATAGTCTAATTCATATGTTCCCTGCTCATGGAAAATAATCCAAAAATTAGCATGGTGAGTTAGGGAGAATAAAAACAGACTGCCTTGTTAATATTTTCAGAACATCCGTAAGAAGTTACCAATGTCATGACAAATGGAGTACTTTTTGCATCAAAAAAATATATAAAAAAAGAAAATAAATAGACTTCACACATGTATTACTAAGGGAGATATAGAGAAAACTTGAATTGCAGTTATAGCAAAAAGTGAGTTATCTTAAAACCAAGAGGTTTATTACAACGGTAAGAACAACAACTACTGGCACATGTTTAACATTTCTCAATTCTAGACTTCAAAAGCACTTTATAAGATATGTAAAAATAGTATTATTTTACAAATCAAGATATTGAAATGAAGGCAGACTCTCAAGAATGCACCTGCTCAAGTTGTTTTCAATTTGCAAACCTGCTTTTGCTGCATATATACACATCAATATTCATTATGAAATCTAGCAATAATGGTAATACACCACCGGTGAAAATACATGTCAAAAGGCAGACTTTCAAAGTCCAGTCCTAAGCATTGGGACTGCCCCTCAGCCGCAGCACCAGCTCTAGAAGTGAGAAGGGACAAGAAAGGACCCTGTGCCTGCTGCAAGGCAGATGTTCCCGAGGCACCCCCAGCTGCCCTGAGCACTCGGTCTACTGTCTCACCTGACGAGCACGAGGAAACTTGGGGCCATGCCGTGCCTGCATGCCCAGGACCACGCTCCAGGTGTGCGGCACTGCAGTTCAT